CCTCCTGCTTTGGCCTCCCAAGGTTCTGGGATTACAGGTGTAAGCCACCACGCCTGGCCTAAAATGTCTTTCAGTTCGGGTTTGTCTGAGGTTTCTGCATGATTAAATTCAGAACGTGTTATTGGCAACAATGCTACAGAAGTGATGTCGCACCTTTTACCAGGAGACCAGATGCTGGCACGTGTCGTCATTAGTGACACAGCTTGGACTACTGGCTGAAGTGCTGTTTGCCAAGTGTTACCACTGTACCTGCACTGGATGCCTACCTGTGGGCAGAGACTGTGAGACCACCTCAATATTCTGTCTCAAAAGTCACGACTTTTCCCATTATCAGCTTCAGTAATAATCATGAATATTACTGTGCTGTCTGCCAAATGCTGATTTTCTATTACCCTAATATATTTATTAGTTGCCATTCTACTAAAAGGTTTTTTCTTTTCCATCATTTCTTTGTTCAATTATATCTATCAGTGTGAATTAATGGACAGTTCTTTCATTCTGTTTTTACTTATTCTACTTATCATTACTATCTTCATTTTCTAGCTCAAATGGTCCCCTATCATTTTTAAACTTCAGTGTATCCACACCTTTCTGTATAATTATAAATTAAGACAAATTATTTCTGTACCATAAAAAATTATACTATTAATCTCAACAGATTCATTAGCTGTGATAAGCCAGAAGCCGAATGACCAGATTAGCTTACCTAAAGTTAACGGTGGTGGTTTTGGATCAAGAACATATTCTTTTTCTGAATCTTCCACTCTGGGGCCCTGCATAGTTTTCTTAAGTCCTGTGTCTACTACTGCTTTTGCATCTCTTTTCAGAGCTTTGGATCTGCTCTCTTGCTTTTGTACTTTTGTCTTAGAATGATCTGCTACTGAAAGATTTCGAAGTTGAAGATCATGTAAAATGTGATCTTGTAAAGCAACTGCAGTGACTGCTAAGTTATCTTTTTTAGATGAATGACCCTAAAAAGTAGGAAAAAAGTCATATTTATAGGAGCATTATGTAATATATCATTTAGAAGAGAACTGAGGCTTTAATACTCAGCCTTGATGACACGTTAGACTAAATCTACTAGTAATGAATGCTTGACCAATTGTCACCTAAGTTGGCCCAAACCCCCTTGCATTTACGTTGAAAACACAGGAAGATGTATTCATCGAATTACTAAAGCTTTAATTATAATGAGAATAAACTTATTATGACCTATATATCTGTGTATGCCCGGACAAATGCACACTGCTTCACCATAATTAGACTAGACTCCAAGCAAATACTGAGGAGGATCTTGCATTTAAGCATATCGTATGCTTTTTTGGTGAAAACGTTATACATTTCCTACGTAGAATACAAATCACTAAACAGCTTGGAGGTGCTTGCAGTAAGCACTACAGAAGCCTGTTTTTCTCACCTGCCTGTCCACTGCCCCCACGCCACACTTGGCATCTCCCATTCCTGCTGACAGTTCCTGGCTGAAGCAACATTTGCAAGCTATTTTTAATACTCTCAAATGGCTGCATTAAAATACATTTCACAAGTAAAATAATGTGTATATTTTTTAAAAGGACGGCGTACCTTATTTTTCAACATGCTGAATCAGGAAAAGTTGTTGCTTGGCTCTAACAAACCCTATCATCACAGTGTATCACACTCCTTTGTTCTTCCACTGTAAAAACGTCATCAACAGAAAAGTCAAAGTTAGAGCGTACATAAAACTCTTAGGACGTTTATGGGGAAGGCACGTATTAAGAGTCTGATGATGAAGCGATGGAAATGCCCACTGTAGTGCAGCACTGAGCTGAGTCTGATTCAGGAGGAGCAGGATTCAAGCCAGTTGCAACTTGCTGCAGCCCTGTCCTCAAACAGTTCACCGCTGACTTGCAGAGAACATGTTAATATAAATGAGAACAATCCCTTGCTAAATATAACATCATACATAAGCACAACAAAATTTCAAACTAACATTGGAGACTAAAAAGATCAGAGATTTGTAAACAAAAAAACCTCCTAAAGAGGTAACAGTTAAACTGGAATTTGAAGAGTAGACAGAGGGAAATGAACATGTACATTACAAGGAAAGCAAAGGCACTTAGGATATCGGCATGGTATGCCTGTTACTCGGGAGAAAGGGAACAATGAAGAAACCGGAACGCAGAGGAATTCGTTACCTGCAATCTGCCCAGACACAGGACAGCACACGGGGACAAACTCGGGTTCCAATCCTGCCGCACCACTTTGCTGGGCAAGACACTCAACACAGCGGCATCTCGGCTCCCTCATCTGCACAGCAAGTACGGCACCGACTCTGCAGGGTTCCTGCAGGGGTTAAAGAGACAACCTCTGTAAAGTTTCTAAAGGGATCTTTTCACACAGAAGGTACTCCAGTTATTCCGACTCCCTTCACAGCTGGTGAAGAATTTGGAATTGGCCCTTTTACTTTTTGGACAAGGGTGTATTTTATGAAGACAAAATGTACTGTAATGGGGAGAAACAAAAAGTTATTCAAGTAATCTAGGGAAATAGTAGAGCAGATCCTCACATAACATTGCTTCTTTCAACATCGTTTCATTATAATGTTGACAAAAAAAAAGTACATTGGCAGCTGAGGTCACTGTCCAAGTGGGGTCTGCACATTCTCCCCATGTCTGCGTGGGTTCTCTCTGGGCACTCGATTTTCCTCCCACACCCCAAAGCTGTGCACACTGGGTTCACTGGCGTGTCTAGACTGTCCCTGTCTGAGCGGGCGGGTGTGTGAATGTGCCATGCGACGGGAGGCCATCGTGTCCAGGGTCAGTTCCCGCCTTGTGTGCTGAGCGGCCAGGATGGGCTGTGGCCACCTGTGACCCTGAACTGGAATAAGCAGGTTGGAAAATGAATGAACGAATACAAAATTATCGTCGAATAATTCGTTAAGTGTACAATAACCGTACAGATACACAATAAACGATGCAGCACGAAAGTGCTCAGGGGGCACTTTGTTTGTTGTGGACCTGCGTGGTGGGAACAGGTGTTCCTGAATTTTTGCTTTGCAAACATTTATCCCAGATTTAACCCACCACATGAAGACCACCGCCACTCACTGAAAAATTGGGTTTTGATCTTTCTTAAATGTATGTACAGCTCACATTTATTTCAATGTTTAACATTAGAAGTGTTTTGGTCTTTACTTAGAAGTTTGGTGATGCTTTTAAGACTAGAAATATGCTGTAGGAACTTAACTATTGTTTGTATCAATTAGCCTACGATAAAACTGGTTTCACTATACATTGTTTTGATTAAAGTCATAGTTTCCAGGAACCTATCAATGAGGTTAAGTGAAGACTTACTGTACTGAGGGCCTAACTGTAAGAATAGAAAGGAATTAATCCAAAATATATTTCTAAGGACCAATGCCTGTATTAAATTAGTCCAACTGAAAGAATAAACTCACTAAGGAGTGTGTGTAGAGAGAAAAGTAAGGACAGTGGAAACAAATTGATGAGCTATCCAGAGTTTTAGGAATAAAAAGATTAGTAGGTGCTAAAATCCTTTGGAAACTTAGATGATAGTTTCTACTGTAACCTTTCCTGTTCCCTTTCAATTCTGGCGTCGAGAGATATTTGAAAGATGTTTCCATGCAATATTTCATCAAGACAATCTAGATTGGATAAATGGTATAAGGTATTAAAAATACTGAAGGATCACTACCAGATTTTTCTACTTCTACTTACAACCTTGCAGAAGATAGTTTGCATCATACCAAAAACCGTTTAATATAATCATATCCGGCCATCCACACTCCACAATTTATTTCAAATTTCTGCACTGTAGATCACCGTGATTAATATTGAGGTAAGAGCTTTTAAAAACCAAAGTTCTACAGTCTCATTAAATTTTAGAATTTAAAATTTAGGACTTAAAGGTATTGGAAACTTTTCAAATATCTAGTCCAACTCCATTTCATAAATGAGAAAACATATCCAAACATTAGGTGACTCCTTCAAGAACACATAATCGGTCTGTAGCAATGGTTGGGTGAGAAACTTAATCCTTGTCCAGTATTAAAAGCTAAGATTAATAGTGACACATGCCTTCTTTGTAAATCTCAATATCAAAACTAGTTCGAAGAGGTAGGGTTTGGTAGCAAAAACTACCATTGTGGTGCCAAGGTAACAGTCACCAATTTGTCTAAATGACCATAAGATAATCAATAAACTTGTCAAATAAAAATACATGACACAAACATACAATTTTAAAAATACAATTCTACATAGTGCCTTATCTCCTAACTTTTGAATTCCCTCTTTAAACATCATTTTATGAGGTTCTATCTGTGATGGCCAGAAACACACAAATATACATAAAGCTACATTGCTAGAAATCTCTTTAAAACTTAAACCATCTTTGGACTTGGTTCCTCCTCTTGTAATGGGTCGTGTTAAAGTTTTGGGGCCATCATAAATTTGCACCACTTATGTAGAAGAAACTGCCACAAGTTAACCAGGAGTACCTTTGACAATGCTGAGCCCTTTCTGGGTGTGCACGGACCCCTCCCACGTGCCAGGACCCCCGCCCCACGGAGCAGGTTCCCACGGGCGCCCCCAATGACTCCCCGGGGCAGGTTCCCCACGGGAGCCCCTCGCTGACCCCCCTGGGGCAGGTTCCCCACGTGTCACGACCCCAGTCCCACGGAGCAGGTTCCCACGGGCGCCCCCGCTCACTAAAAGACGGGCCGGGTTAGACACCGGTCTCCCGTGGCAGAGCGGGGACCCGGAGCCAGGAGGCGGCGTTGCGCGCGGCCCCCTCCCCTCCTCACCAGGACAAGGTCCCTGCTCCCCGGCTCTGCCCGTAACGCACCGGCTCCGGCCTCCACCGCTACCAGCGGCGCTCACCGTTGCCGTAGCAACCCCTGCCTCCGCGCTCGCTCCCAGCGCGCATGCTCCTCGGTCCCGCCCCGCCCCGGCGCCGGCGGCCGTACGGCCCCAGCACGCATGCTCGCCGGCCCACCTCGCGCATGGCGTCACGTCCCCACGCCGGTGCGTCGCCGTCGAGGTCCGCGCGGGAGCCGGGCGCGAACGGGAAGGCGGGACGTGGTGCGGGCCTCGCGCCTCAGCTGCGCGCCGTTCGCGCCCGGCCGGGCCCCGCCGAGTCGCGCTTCCTCCGTCGCCGCTCGCGCCTTGGCGTCGTGGCCTGGTGGCCGTCGATGCGCGCCCCAGCTCGTGACTCCCACGTGGCCCGTCTCCAGGCCGCTCCCGGGGCGCGGGCTGGCCGCGGCGTCTCCTCGCGCGCCGACCTCTGACCTCTGCCCCCTGCCCCGGCCTCTGCCCGGCGCGGACCGGAGGCCCCCGTCCCGCGCTGCGAGGTCGAGGTGGTTCCTCCGGGGCCTGCGCGGGTCGCGCCCGGACACCTCCCTTCCTCTCCCCGTCGCCCGCGGATCCCGTACCGCCGGGAACCGCTGCTCCCATCGTTTGAGTGTTTTAGTTCTTTGAGGTAAGAGCCTAAGTCTGGTCCCAGGCTCCATCATGGCCGGAAGTCAGAGGGTTTTTTTCCCTCTTTAAAAATGACGGTGCCTGTATTGTGTTAGTTAAACTTACGCTGTACTTTTATTAGAATGAAACTAGGTTGAAAGTACAAAGAAAACATACAAAGGCGAGTAATTTTTTTTTACTTCACTGAGAGGAAGGTCTAAAGTTACCAATGAGTGACTGGAAATCAATCGTGGATCATTAAGGACCTAAAAATTAACATAAATTTGGAATAAATGATGCGTCTATGAAACATAATTTTAAACTCCGCTTAAGATTGTAAGTTTTCTTTAGTGGAAATGAATTTTCTAAGCTGGCCACTCGTGTTTTGAGGTTTGTAGAAACAGACTGCAAACAGGCTAAAATTTTTGAGTAAGCCAAATTAAATTCATAATGAAGTTAATCTTGGGTTATTAATTTTTCACATAATATTTCAAAGTTTCCCAGCAAATATTGTAACCTTGATTCATGTTCCAATTGGTGATGAGTCTAGAAGACAGGTAAAGGGCCTTTTTTACAGTCTGAAGATTCATTCTGGAACATGGGTGTTGGTATAGCTTAGTGGTAGATGGGTAATTTGGATTCAGATTGTAGACCAAACTTCAAATCTAGACTTACTTTCTAGTGTCTGATTTTTGATAGTTTATCTTCCCAAACTATGGGTTCCTTATTCGTAAAGGGGAACTTGTTACAATATTTCTCCCCTCAATTCTCAGCAGCCACTCTCCGGCAATAGCCCTGGCATCCCTGGAGTCCTGGGATGGAACATGACGAGCCTCAGGTAGTCAGAAAGTCCAGAACCCTGGACACAGTGACTTAATCAGGGGTGGCCATATGTCCCAGGTGGGTCAACCAGGGGACTCAGTATTTTTGTGGGAGCTATTGGAAAACTTTAACTCTCCCTGCTGAATGTAGAAACAAGAACAGACAAAAAATTGCAGCTGTCTGGGTTGTCTTCATCATCACAAGGTGAGAGATCCTGAAACTTTTGGGGGCCACCCCATGAACTTTAGAAGGAAGACTATACAGGAAGTGGCAGAGCTGACATTGGGACAGAGTTGAGTCCTGGTGACAAGTTTGAGCCCT